CAGAGTAAATAAAAATAAATTCACACTTAGACATCAAAATCCAAAAGCAAGGGGAACCAGCAGTTAGCGTAATGGCTATGTTGCTGGACTCCCACGAAGTCAATTGCAGTTCACGTCCTGGACCCAGTGGCTTAAAACTCATGCCAGGCACGTGTGCGTGCGTGCCCAAGATCCCAAGAGGAGAATGGAGGAGAAGGATTGTGGTGTGCCCATCCCCTCTGGGTGGTGATTTCTCGCTTTCTGTCTCTATGTCTCTCTCTGTCTGTCTGGTGCACACGCCCTGTAGTGAAAACCTCTCCAAAATGTGCACCCCCCCTGCGGGGAAACACCCCCAAAAAAAAAAAAAAAAAAAAAAAAAAAAACCACCCCAAAAGCAAGGAACCAGCAGGTGACACAGTGGTTAAGGTGCCAGACTCCCACACAGCCAACCATGGTGTGTGTCCTGGATTCAGCAGCTGGAAAACCATGCCAGATGTGTCTGCATGTGTGCACAAAATCTCAGGAAGAGAATGAAAGAGAAAGGATTGTAATCACCCCCTGGGAAGTGATTTCTCACTCTCCTTCTCTCTGTGTCTCTCTGCCTCTGTCCAGCAAACACATATGCCCTATGCAAAAACCTTAAAAAAAAAAAGTGCAAAAGCAGTATGTTAAGACTAAAACACAACCTTGAAACCTATCTAAGAAAAAAATAGTTTACCAGAAGGATCTTAAATAATGGTAGACTTTTCATCAGCAGCTGTGGATGGCCGGACATAATTTTAAAAATCCTCAGTGCAAAGAGAAGTCCTCCTTAGACTAGCATTTGAATCTAGCCAAATTACATTTCTATAGAAAAATCAAAATAAGGACATGTACAGATTAAGAGGGTTACAAATAGGCTCTCATTAAAATAGCTATTAAAGGATATAAGGTAACATAGATAAAGCTTGAGAAACAATAAATAAGAAATCACAGGGGCAGCAGGTGGCGTGATGAGTAAGGTAATGGATTCCCATATGGCCAACAGCGGTTTGCATCCCGGACTTGACAGCTTGAAAATCATGCCAGATGCATGTGTGTGAGTCTGAAAATCTTGAGAGAAGAATGGCAGAGAAGGGATTGTGGAATGGCCATCTACCATGGGGGCGAGTGATTTCTCACTTTCCCTCTCTCTGCCTCCACCTGTCTCTGCTGAGTGCACACTAACGCAAAAATCTAAATAAATAAATAAATAAAATTTTCAAGATTCATAAATTGTGTAGGAAAAGTCAATTAACTGTGAGACCAGCAGACGGTATAGCAGTTACATTGCTGAACTCCCACATGATTGATTGTAGGCTTGAGTTCTGGACTCAGCAGCTTAAAACTCACAACAGGCACATGTGTGTGCATGCCCAACATTCCAAGTGGAGAATGTAAGAGAAGGGTTTGCAGTACAGCCATTCTCATCCCCTCTTAGGGGTGATTTCTCAATTTCTGTTTCTCTGTCTTTCTCTGTCTCTCTAATGAGCACATGAGCCCTATCACAAAAATCTCCTCCCTAAAAAAAAATCATATAACTAATAATAATAAATATTGCTTTTCTTTTTTTGCAAAAGGTTTAACTTAAAAGTCTAAACAAGAATAACCAGATGGTGACAGGGCAGTGTTATATAGGTGGTTAGAGCATGCTAAGGGTCTTTTCGTGATGAAAGGCAGATAGAAATTATAAATTACTACAGGCTTTGTAATCAAATGAACAGTTAAATATATATCCAAAGGGTATCCAGTTAAAGTTTAAAATAAAATGTGTAGCATTTCAATCTGCAGAGGGGTTATAAAAGCAAGATGCACATACATACACACACATCTTAATAAATCCAAAAAGTCAGAATGAAAAAAAGTAAAGAAAATGAATGATAAGCAGCACAAATATGGTGGTATGACTATGTCCAAATATATCTGTAGTGATAATAAACACAAATACATTAAATTTACCTGTCACAATATAAGGGTTATTAGATGGTATCTAAAAGATGTAATCATTGCTTTCAAAAGATAAGTATAGATGGAAAAAGGGCAAGATATCTCCCTATTAATTATAAGACAGTATTGAAATTTAGATTTATTATAAATAAGATAGTGTGAAATCAATAGAGTACGAGTGGCAGACCAATGGAGTAGTATAAAAAGAACTCAGAAAGAGATTCTGTATTTAGGAAAATTGGTAAATGATAGATATGTAATTGCTGAGAGGTAGGAAAAAGAAAGAACTAGTTGTTGTATGATGCCAAGTCAATGGGTTATCCACATATAAACAAACAAAATTAAATCCCTATACAAAGATCATAAATGAGACAAGACCCAAGTGTGACACAGAACTTGATAAGTTTTAGAAGACAGGAGAATAAAATATCCAAGTTGGGAAGGATTTCTTACATAAGTCATAAAAAGCAAAGTTCATAAATTAAGAGATTAATAAAATGAACTGCTTTAAAATTTAAAAACAACCATATATCAAAATACATCAGAAACAAAATAAAAAATTATAGGCCACAGTTTGGGGAACGATATTTGCAATACAAACAAGTGATGAAGCATTAATATTTAGAATAATAAACTATAAATCAATAAAAAAGAAACAACCCAAGAGAATAGAGACAAAGGATATATATATATATATATATATAATAAGTCAATTCACAGAAGAAACTACAGTGGTCAATAGATATACAAAAAGATACTCTACCCCACTAGAAATTTAGGAAACACATATTGTAGTAACTGTGGGAAAGCATCTTATGTTTATTATGCTGACTGGCAAAATTTATAAGTCTAAGGGTTGAGGATGCAGGGAAATAGAAACTCTTACCCTTGCTGTTGGAAGTGTACATTTGCTCAGCTTAAGATAATTGACCATTATTTAGTAAATTTGATGACACATATAATCAGCAATTCTTCTTTTAGTTATATGTCCTAGAGAAATCCTCATACTTATGTACAAAGAGATATGCACGAAGATGCTCTAAGCAGCATTGTTTGCAACAGCAAAGAGCTATAAATAATCTAAATTATGATCAACAAAATAAATTATAGTTTAATCACAGCTTAAATTATTCTATACCTATATAAAAAAAAAAGAAACAACCAAAGAAGATAGAGACAAAATATATATATATATATATAATAAGTCAATTCACAGAAGAAACTACAGTGGTCAATAGATATACAAAAAGATACTCTACCCCACTAGAAATTTAGGAAACACATATTGTAGTAACTGTGGGAAAGCATCTTATGTTTATTATGCTGACTGGCAAAATTTATAAGTCTAAGGGTTGAGGATGCAGGGAAATAGAAACTCTTACCCTTGCTGTTGGAAGTGTACATTTGCTCAGCTTAAGATAATTGACCATTATTTAGTAAATTTGATGACACATATAATCAGCAATTCTTCTTTTAGTTATATGTCCTAGAGAAATCCTCATACTTATGTACAAAGAGATATGCACGAAGATGCTCTAAGCAGCATTGTTTGCAACAGCAAAGAGCTATAAATAATCTAAATTATGATCAACAAAATAAATTATAGTTTAATCACAGCTTAAATTATTCTATACCTATATATGGAACACCATACAACAATTAAAATGAATGAACCAGAGCTATGTGTATTAATATGACTAAATCTCTACAATATTATAATGAGCGACACCATTTATAGGAATTTATAAAACAATAACATTTATATTTTCAGATATAAAGATATAAAAAAACATTGAATTAGTGATAGGAGAGACCTATAGGGTAAATATAGAGAGATGCCATCAGGGAGAATACAAAAAATTTTCAATTACGTCTATATATATATATATATATAAACAAGAAATTAACCCCCTGGGAGGGATAGCCACGCCACAATCCCTTCTCCTCTATTCTCTTTGATTTGGGGCACGTATAAACACGCACCTAGTGTAAGTTTTAAGCCATTGAGTTCAGGACTCGAACAGAGGTCAACTGTGCATGTGTACACTGACGTAACGATTATGCCATCTGCTGGTCCCTTGATTATGTCTATATCTTTTATGCCTTTGGCATAAATCTGGATTACGTTGATAGGATAAAGCAAGAGTTGGCGGGAGTAGTAAATTGTCCTTCATTATATGTCTATTGTTTTCTATATATTTAAAATTATCATAACAATAGAAGATTTCAAATAAGATAGCCCCTCCTCCAAAGTTCTATCTCTCCAGAGTCCAGTAACCAAAGTGTTAATGCCCACACAGTAGGTAGTCACCAGGAATTTGGAATATTTTGAATATCATCCAGGGATAAACAGGAACCACCATACTCATTTTCAAATGCCCTGCTGACACCATCAGCCCTTTTATTCTAAGAGAGAAAGGTATCTCTTGTCCAATTTTGCCTAGGGTTTCCAAACCTAAGAGAAATACCTCTCTGACAAACTTAATCTCCTCAGTCTCTCACTAGGCTAGATGTTAGGTCTAGGGGAAAGCAAAAATCTTTTAATCCTATGGTCACAGCTTTGTGAAGGCATTTGGCCTTCCCCTAAAGATGAGAGACAAAAGTCATCTTGACCCTCAGCATGGCCAGTCAAACAAAGTCACTTTCCCAGTCTAGTCTTTCCTCATGAGACAACCTCTCTTCATTCCACAGCATCTTCTAGCCAGCTTCCCCATGATTTTAAATCTTATTTCTCAGGAAACCAGGGCACTTCCTTTACACTTGAATTCAATGAATGATTTAGAGAGAACTTGGCCCTAGAGTATGCAGTAAAATCTAGAGTATCAGCCCTGCTATCTGCAGAGTCCAAAGGAGGCAACACAGAACAAGGAGGGAGAAAAGAAAATGCCTTTGAGGTGAGATGGGGTAGGCAAGCCAAGAGTATTTCATGACACAAAAGTTCTGCTGTTCATTCAGGGAGTCAAAGGAGGAGGGAGGGAATTGCATTTGGATAGGCAACAAAGCATCACTCTGAGAAATAAGGGAAAAGCCAAAGCAGAACGGCTGCACCTACTCACCGGGGCTGGTTATTGTCAGGAGATCAAGCTGCCGTTGTTGCTGCAAAAATAAAACAAAATACATTGTGAGAACACTGATTTGAGCCAGAGCCAAGTTGTGTGTAGCAGCTCAGGGAGGCATGTAAAGTGGATATTTAGAAACACAGAGTAGGGTAAATTATACAGTATGTGGCGCTTACAATTCTATGGAGAGGCCTTGTACCCTAGAGACAAAAGGAGTAGATGACCAGTCCCTTGCTCATCCTTGGAAACATGGCATCAGAGCTAAGAGGGCCTTAGAGTCAAATCCATACCATACTATGATATACCTATGGAAAATGAGGCCTTGAGAAGAGTATGACTTACTTAGGGCCACAGAGAAAGTCCTTTTCCAGTCTCCCAACCATGGTCTCATACCTCTGTACTAGATGGACTTAGATTTCTCTTCACTTACATTTGTTGTGTGGAATACTAGTAACCAGATTTATGTTGGGTGCCTGTGTTCCTGCCATCCTCTAGGTATGTCTTTGTAATCAAGATACTGTGTTGGTTTATTTCTTGAACCTTTCAGCAATGCTATGACAATTTGTAACTGATGATCAAACCATTTCTTCTCCAACTGAGTCCTTAGTCCTTTGAACCACACAACATTCACACAAAATAGTATTTGTCTAGCACAATAGGCTATATGGAAACAGCAGCTTGTTTGGAGACAACTAGCCTTGGCTACCCCAAAGGTTGAGGGAAATCAGTCTCTCAGACCTGTCCCCATTACAGCATGCCTATTGGGAATCTCCATCCTGGACTGGATGTCAGAGAAACCTAAGTGTAGAGAAATAGGTATTGGAGGCCTGGAGTTAGAGCAGTGGCAGGAGTCCCTTTTAGGCTCAAGTTAGGATTCCTTAAGCCCTTTCTGACCTCTTTTTCTTCCTCACAGTTCATTTTCTATAAATGGTACTGGAAATCTGTATTTTTGTTTGTTTGTTTCTTAAACAGGGGTCTAAATAAACTCTGCTCTGAGAGTGTTCCCTCTAAGCTATAAGTTTCAGGAGCTTCTGATTACCTGATATTTCATCAATGGATGTGCCTTGCCATAATTCACCTCACCTGCATTTTCCTCTTTATCTTGTCTTTCTTCCTAAAATTCTGCTTAAGAAGAAAGGAAAAGGGGGCGACATTTTCTGAGTACCAACTATAGGCCAGGTACAGCATGAGGTACTTCAAAGTATTATTCTTTTTCAGATTCTCAACAATCCTACAAGGTGTGTATTGTACAGAGGAAGGGCATGACATTTGTAGACGAGAAATTATCTGCCTGAGATCACACCCTCATTAAATGACAGGGCCAGCATTAGAATTCAGTTAGTTCTAATCCAGGCTGTGAAGTCCAAAATATGACAATGTACATAAATCATTGAGTATAATGCCTGGTACTTGATAGGTTTTTAATAAAAAGAGCTAGTTAGTATTTTCTTTTTTTGTTTTTTTGGAGAGATTTTCGCTATAGGGCGCGTGCGCTCGCCAGACAGACAGAGAGAGACAGAGAGACAGAAAGCGAGAAATCACCCCCCAGGGGGGATGGTCACGCTGCAATCCCTTCTCCTCCATTCTCCTCTCGGGATCTTGGGCACGCATGCACACGTGCCCAGCGTGAGTTTTAAGCCACCAGGTCTGGGACGCGAACTGCGGTCAACTATGTGGGAGTCCAGCAACATAGCCATTACGCTAACTGCTGGTTCCCAAGAGCTAGTTAGTATTGATGGTCTTGCTATTATTATAGAACAACTGATCCTTGATTTATATAAGTTGTTTCTGCTCTTTTCATAGTACCAAGATACTTAGAGGTTGGAGGTTATTAATTTTTGACTGCTATGTGGGTAGGAATCTCTCCTACAATGTCCCATCAGTTGTATGATCTCCTTCTGTTTCATCCCTTTTCTTTATAGAGAACTCACTACTTCTTATATATTAGACAGCTATATTTTGAGTAGGGTTAAAAGTTGCTCATGAAAACATCATCACTATTTGTTACTACCTCAGCTAATGACAATTGTTTAGAGATCTGAAAATCTGTGTCTTCTGTTTCCAGGCTAAATATTCCCAGTTCCATGGTTTCAAATCTCCTTGCCCTCAGGTTCATCCTTCTTTTCCATTTAACTGATTTGTTCAAGGCAAGACCTCTTTAAGATCTTTCTACTCTTTGCTTCAGTGACTTCTCATGTGCCTAAAAGCTAGACTGTATCCTTTTAGGGTCTTCTCAATCACACATCCCTGTTTTCCTGCCAGCTCATAACTTATTCCAGTTGACTTTCTCAAGCAAACAATGCAACTCCAAGATGTCACCGATTTACATAGTGAGCACACATCCTTGCACTGAAATGGAACCCCTGCCCCCAACACAAACACATATGCACACATGCAAGCTAGAAGGAATGCTGGAGCCTGACTGCCTTCCCTCCTAAACACTGAACCAGGCCAGTGGGACAATTGGTTCAGACTGTCATTGCCAGAGCCAAGCTATGTGGCTTGGCAATTTTCTCACACATGAGGAAGAATCCATGGAGTCCTTTTACCATAAACTTGATTTTGGGTTGATCATAGTCGGTGAAGGATGTCTATTTTTCAAAAATAATATCTATTGCCTGATTAAGAGTTACCACTGAATGGCGATTCTATACTCACGGTCCAGTAGAAGAAAAAAGGAAGAAAACCTGACAGGAGTCAGATAGGCCTGGGTTTGTGTCCTGTGTGTGGCTTTGTATAACTTACTATAATATATCTCCAGCCTCAAACTTCACAACTCTAAAATGAGCAAGTGAGACTCAAATAACATCAGTGACTCTGCGAGTTCAATGCAACCACAGGTACTGTGCTTGTGGGCTCCCTCTTCTGGTGTAGTTTCCTCAGAACCCATGTAGCCAGGACACAGGGCTGGAAGGGTAGTCAGCAGGGACCCTGTTTGAAGCGATGCTCTCATGTTGCAATGTACTATGTATGTGTGAGTCTTCAGCACGTAGATGAGGGGCATCCTAAGGGCTTGCAACATCTATTGTGCATCTTAATTGCATCAGTCCATGACTTTGAGTAACCTGAGTATTTCCTTTCAAACCTCCATGCCTTTGCCTATGCTGTCCTCTTGGCCTACCCTCTTGCAATCTTCCTAGAGATTCTTCCTCACTTCTGAAGACCAACATGAAATCTTTTTTTATGTACCAATTCCCAACCTAACCCCCTTCTCTGCTTTCTCTAGAATGACTATTTCACACTTTATTTTTCCAACACATCGTGTAAAACCTCTTTTGTGTCATGCTACGTCTTAATTGTCTTGTCTCTTGTCTGACTCACTCAGCAGGTTTTTACTTGAGGACAGAACTATGTTATTTTATCTCTATACCTACAGTGCCCAGAAAAAAAGACCTGGAAGTAATGTTTGATGTCATCTAATTCAAATGGTTCAACTATCCTGTTATTTCCTCTGCAGTGACCTTGAGATAGGAATTAATCAGCATGAAAAGTTAGTAAGTGCCTTCTTTTTCAAGAGTTTTCCTCTGTCACATCTATGGGGTTTCTTCCCTTTTGTGTTTTTGCTCCTGCCATTTCTGCAGTTAGAAATATTGTTTACCTACCTCATCAGATGAGCTTCCTTCCTTTATTCTCCACAGGATAACTGACTGCCCTGGAGTCCTTAGCTCTTGCTATCTGTACCACCCTGGTGGTGATGTATTAAATCTAACCTGGTGACAGGCCCATTTAACCTACAGCTCACTGGCATATGTGTGCACCACCTAGTGGCACAAACAGATAAGTGTAGGCTATTGTTTTAACCTGTGATTCTTAAGATAGAATTGCAAAATCTACATATTTTACATGCAAACGAAAACAAACATGTGTGCTCCAGAATGACTCTGCAACAATTTGTAGCTAAGAAATTAGAATATTCAAATAATTCCCCCCAAGTCTTTTTTTCTTTTCTTTTTTTGGAGAGGTTTTTGCTATAGGGTGCATGTGCTCGCCAGAAAGACAGAGACAGAGAGACAGAAACCGAGAAATCACCCCCTTGGGGAGATGGCCACACTGCAATCCCTTCTCCTCCATTCTCCTCTCAGGATCCTGGGCATGCACACATACGCGCCCAGTGTGAGTTTAAGCCACCGGGTCCGGGACTCAAAAGCACGGTCGAATACATGGGAGTCCGGAGACACAGCCGTTACACTACCTGTTGGTTCCCCCCTTCCAAGTCTTTCGAACCTAAAAGGAGTGAAATAAAAGTGAAAATGTCATTACTTAATTGCCTAGCATAATCATCTGAGATTGCCAATGGAAGCAGGAATTTGTAAAAATAGGGCACGTGATTTATGGAGTTTGACCAGTAATGTGCCATTGTGTATACATATAGGAACATGTTGGATATAGAGAATTATAATTAGTTATCAATTGAGAAAGATGAAAGCCTTTTATAAGGAGATGATACATTAACTTCCTGGGTGGTAGGATATGCAATAGTAACTAGAAAAAAATTAAGTCAGCAAGAAGGTGGCAAGTTTGGTAGACAGATAAGCAGTTGAGCCACTAGCTGACCAAAAGCTAGAGTTTTAAGAAGGCAGAGACTTCACGGGTGTGGTAGTGATAGTATGTGTATGCATGCATGTGCATGTGTATGTGCATGTTGTATGTGAATTCCATACCCAGACAGAGGGGAATGTGTCCAAGTGTGCCTATGTGGTAGTCCACTGACTCTTGGAGGAGAGTGGGTATGCCTGTGTTGGGTCACTCAGGAGGCTATGTGGACTCCTGACTGTGTGTGGTCCCTGCCTCTGTCCTTAAAAGTGGTTCGCCATGGACATTCAGGAGAAACCCATTTCTGTACTTAACCATGTGGTGAACACTGAGTACTGCCATATAAAGATGATAAAAGGTGGGGGTTCTAAGGTCAATACAGGTTATCTCTATATTGGTACCACCAGGAGTTTCCAGATATCTTTAGCATTCAGTGGATACTAAAGATAATGTAATGGTATCCTTGCTCCAGGAGTTTTCTACTATTCCCCCATGTGTCCAGTG